ATCTGCGTGAGGGGTGCCACCGATTTTCAGAATTTCGAGGATGTCCCGAGCGAAACGGCCAGACAAATCGCGAACAAACAAAGTTATATATATATATATATATATATATATATATATATATATATATTCAGATATACATTTACATACCCACATAAACACATACGTACACATCATGGGGTAGGCGATGAGATCTCCTTTGGTTCCATGCCCGCCTGCTCTTCTTTCGGTGCGTCCCCAGATGCCCCCTCGTCCGCGCACATGCCTGGGGCCATGAGTTTCGCAGGATGCTAACCAACTTACTCCGCACGGAGTGCTTCGTCTCCGTTTGAGTTTACTCCCTCAGGACTAAGCGTCTCCTCAGATCTCGTGAGCGCTTACTGCACAGCTTTGTCCTGCTCGATTCCGTCCCCGGGTACGTTTGCTCCACGTCTGTCTTGTCGGGTTGCGTCTTATGAGGGTGTTTTTGTTTCTGTTGTGGATTCTGTAAGCCTAGGGCCATGATCTGCAAACCAGGAGTCGACGTGAACAGTGCTTTGGCGATTTCGTGCGCCGTTTTCGTTTCGACATCATTTTGCAGCAAAGGCGGATTGGAGGCACAAGGAACAACGAAAGGAAACGAAGTCGAAACGAAGAACACTGTTTGGATCCATGCCTGCTGCGAACCCCCCTCGTGGGCGCCCCCCTCGTGGACGCCCCCGACGCCGCGCGCGGCGCGGGGCCTGGCGAGCAGCTGTGGGGCGCCGAGGTGCTGCTCGCCGCCGATGTCGTCTACGACGCCCCGGCGGCCGAGGCGCTGGCGGCGCTCGCGGCCGCGCTGCTGCAGCGGGGCCGCGCGGAGGTGCGCAGAGGAGCTCAGCGCAACCCGTGGAAGCCTCGCATGCCCTCGGAAGTCGATCGGAGGACCTAAGATGCTGAACATACAAACTTTTGGTGCGCTCCGCGCGGATTCCTTGGATCCGCGCTGGGCCCCCCCCCCCGGGCGGCGCCTCCAGCGCCGCCCGTGGCGCGCTCCGCGCGCCAGGGAGGGGGTCCAGCGCAGATCCAAGAAATCCGCGCGGAGCGTCAACAGTGTATGTGTATGGCGTTTCTCCTATTTCTTATGTTTCTTCTTCTTTTCCAGGCCGCCTACATGGGGTCCGAGTAGATGGGGTCAGAGGGTCGCGCCGCACCGCCGATGCATCGCCAATGCATCGCCGATGCATTGCCGATGCGGTTCGATTTGGAGCCCGAGGTTCTCCTCGCAAGGCGGCGCCGATGCATCGCTGACGTCGCCGATGCGTCGCCGATTCGTCGGCGATACATCGCCGATGCATTGGCGATGCAGCGTGATCCTCCGACCCCAACTACTCGGACCCCACCTGGGAGGCGTCTGCTGCATGCCCTCGTAATTCCGTAGCTCGAGTGCCATTGCGTCGAGTAGCGTGTGGTGATCGATGGGATCGCCCCGGTTTAGCGTCGACCAGCGCCTGTTAGCGTGACCAGCGTCGATTCAGGGTCGATCGTCGATTCCCAAGATCATGCAAGATGGAATGGGAGGCTCCCATGAGTTGCCACCGAAGAGGAGGAAGGGATAGAGCCAGACCCGCTCGCGTCGTGACAAAGAAGAATCGGGACGATCGAGATGGATACGGCGGCATCCGTATCTCCTCTGCGTGTCTTCCCCCAGGTGCTGCACCTGGCGGTGGAGAAGCGCGTGTACTTCTCGGCCGCCACGCTCCGGCCCGAGGTCGCAGCGTACCCCCAGTTCCTGGACGACTGCGGGCGCCTCGGGCTGGCGGTGGAGCGGGTGGACCTGTCGGAAGTGCCCGTGCACTTCGACTACGTGCGCTCGAGGCTCGAAAAGCCACAATCCGTATGACCACCTCCCTGTCTGAGCTCCGCGCGGTGGTCTGGAGTCAGCGCTGGGGCCCCCTCGCGGCGCCTCCGGCGCCGCTCGTGGCGCGCTCCGCGCGCCGGGGGGGGGGGGCAGCGCGGATCCAAGAGCCTCGCGCGGACCTCCGTGCGCTCTAGGAGAGGGGGGGGCAAGTTGCCGACACCGCTTCCTTTGCCTCGATGCTGCCGTTTGGGTGCGTTCTGGGAGGCCCTCGTCGCCGCCGCCGCCTCGAGATTCTGGCCGGAGCGCACGCCGAAAGAGGTCCAGGGAGTGGCGGCATCTCACCACCCGCCAGCCCCTTCCAAACTAACCTGAAGGCCCAATTTGCCTTACATTCTTAGTTGGGGGGGGCGTCGGGGAACACTAAGCATACATGTGGAATCCGTACTCCCCCAACCTGAAGTTTGGGTCTTCGGGTTGATTTGGGGTGGTCTGGTAGGTTGTAAGGCCGCTTGGTTCCCACACGAGGTGTTACGAGCTGGTGAGGATCACGGCCGCCACCGGTCGCCCGGCCAAGAGGGCGAGGGTGGAAGCCGAGGCGGAGGCGGAAAATGAGGGGTGCCAGCGAGGAGTCGGGTCTGCTGCAGGAGGCTTGGCATCGCTCGGGCGTGTGTATGTTCTCTTCTCGGCACGGACCATCGAGTAGCATCCTGGATCCTCTTGCGGGAAAGAGCGCACCAAGTCGAGACACGCAAATGGAACGGGCGTCTGTCAGAGCGTGAATTACCAGGCAAAACCAAGTCATACCACGCGCCTCCTCGTCAAGCGGCCTGACCAGTACAGGCCGTAGTTTGGCATCGCTTGGTATCTCTTTGAAGCGAGGGTGGTCAAAAGCAAGGTAGGTTTGTTTGCCCCCTAGTCTGGGCGATGCCGAGGAGGGGGAGAAGGGGGGATATCAGCATCGTCTTCTGGCCTATCCCCATACCCACTGGGCCACGGGCCATGGCATGTGAACCCCGCCAGCCCACCCTCCAAGGTGGGGATATGCGCCACGCGGGAACTGAACGGACAGGAGGCGGGGCTTTGGGTCCAAGGCCACGCCGTGAGGATAGTGATCGGTTCAACGATGCTCAGAACTGGCGAGGGCAAGGAGGGTCGACCGCATGGGCTGAGGATCTTACTGGAAGTAGTGTGAATAATCGTTTGTCTTTGAAGTTGCTGGGCGAGGGTATGAGTTCGAACAGATCAGCCACGTGAATTGATCACCGCTTTCCCTGACCTCCCAGATTGGCGGCTCCACGCAAGCTCGGGCCTGGGTGATCCTGAGCAGGGTCATCGCCCAGGCAGGAGGCAGGATTTCCCTCGTAGGTGGGAAGATGAGAGGGCAGGAAGGAGGAGGCGAGGTGGATATGATCAAGGAGGGAAGGCGGAGGATAAGGACGAGGGGTCAAAAGGAGGAACGAGGTGCGAGGAACGCGAGTAGTTCGAGGAGCTTGAGGAGAAGTTGGAGGAGGAGGGGGAGGTGGAAGAGTTCGATGAAAGAGGATCAGCAGCAGGACGGTACGTGGAAAAGGCACCGCCGCCCGACAAGGTGCCGACTGATAGCACGGGGTCCCACCCGCCTATCCATCCCTTCTCCTCATCCTATTCATCCCAAGTGCTCGATGATATTGTCCTCCCCATCCTCGCTCTCCTCCTCGAGGGCGCTTGTCCCCCCCCCCTCGTCTTCCCCTCCTCGAAGGCTCACGAGTGCAGCCTGGCGCCGTCTCCGTCCCCAGCTGGACACCACGAGGCCCAGGCATGTGCATGTGCCACAGGATGCTTCGCCCTCGGTCTTTCTCAGAGAGCGAAGGGAAGGTGCGCCAGAGATCCGGCGCCACGCCGCCCCACCAGTCCCGCCGCGTGGAAGCCTCAGGGCAGGGGTGTCGCGTCCGGGTGCACATTGCCGCGGGCCGCCGCTTCCGTCGACGGCACAGTGCTGCACTGGGCCGCCGTGCGGCCGACGGACTGCAGCGCAGGCGGCGCGGGGACGGCATTGTGCGCCGCCTCGTCTTCACCAGATTGCAAGAGTCTTGTGGCCGGGGCTGGTCGATCCTGGGAAGTGAACAGCGTGGGTGCAAGATGCGGAATGGGGACGGGGGCGACGGGCAGTGGCGGCTTCAATGCGAGGGCGAAATTCAAGTGTTCCTCAGCCCATCGCACCGCTGCGCGTGGATTGCGTTCCATTGGCGTTGAGGGCATTCTGGGAGATCTTGGCAGGCCTGTTAGGGGGCTCATGAGGTCATTGGTGGCCCACTTGGGTGCGCATTGAGGCCTCTTTGGGGCCTCTTGAGGGTCTTGGGATCATGTCGGAAGGGTTGGCTACCAGCGTTGCGACAGTGGAGAGTCCAAGATGGCCGCAGGGAAACGTGGGAGAGTGCAAAGCGTCTCGCAGGACCACCCCTGGACGACCACTCCAGGACTCTCCCTAACACACGCCGACACGGTCGGCGGATCGCCCGGTCTTCCTCATTCCCCAGCTAGTTCTCTTGTGTAGAAGCATGGTCTGGTTTTTTATCATATGGTTGAGCTGTCTTGCCCCGAATTGAGTTCTCTACTCGGAGCCGTTTGGTTCTTCTGACCGCTGAGGTTGCGGACTCGCGTATCGCTGTATCCATGCGCGTGCTCTGCGCCTGGGCTGGACGAGGGGACGCAGCTGGACGGGAAAGCGCTGGGGGGATGGCAGAGGGGAGGCTAGGAGGGGCAGGGGCCGTGGGAGGGGACAGGGGACAAGGGGATGGGCCAGAGGCGGGGAGGAGAGGCTGGAGCGGGCGAGAGTGTTTGGGTAGAGGCCCCTCACATCTCGCTTCCTCCACGCTTGCGCCCCCTCCCCCCCCCCCCGCGTGCCGCTCCCTGCCGGCTCCAGCCGGAATTCGCCGCTCCCGCGCCCGAGTTTTTTGTTTGTTGTCGTCGTCTTCGCCGCGCGCCCGCCGCCGTCGCACGGCGGCCCGCCGCGTGCTCCTGCACCCCTTTGCCGCTCTCAGGAGGAGAGGAGTAGGAGAAGAGGAGATGAGGAAAAGAGGAGAAGAGGAGAAGAGGAGGAGAGGAGGAGAGGAGGAGGAGCAGGAGGAGGAGGAGGAGGAGGAGGAGTAGGAGGAAGAGCAGAAGAGGCGAGGAGGAGGAGGAGGAGGAGGAGGACGTTGGCATT